TCATGTTTGGCGTAATGAGTATCATCTTTGTTACTAGTGGTGATGAGAGAAAATACCATGTGTTATTATCCCTCTTTTGCCTATCAGTATATGATTTTAAGTATTGGTGACAGACATGCACTGAAAAACAGTAAATGAGATGCACAAGATATTAAAACTTTTCCAGCAATATGAATAAAAAATTACTGTGACAGTCCATTCAGTATTGAAAGTAAAAAAAACCCCTCAAACAACTAATATTGCAAAGTGAGAAAAACCCAGATCTAAGAGCTTCTTAATATCCCCAAATGTTTTTTTCATTTTCCCACTATTGCACCAAGTTATTAATTTATAATGAAGTAGAAAAAACCCTATGATAAAACACAACCTGCAGAGATTTTTAATATATCTACTGGCCTTCCAAAGTAACAGCACTGACTGGATAAAAGCTGTTGGAAGACATCACCTCCATAAATCTTCTGTTGCTAAGTTCTGAAAATATATCTAACACTTGCAGAAAACCTCCTTTTTTAGCACCTTCTGTTTCATCTTCTTTTAAGATTCATTTAATATAAACCTGTAGATGTGCTTTTAGGTTGCAATGAGAATAGTTCAGAATGACAGCTGATATGGGCACTTTTGTACCAGCTGCATGGTATGAAGACAGAACTTCCATCTTCACTCTGCAGACAAAGAGTAAATGGGCCCATACCAATGGGATTTAGCATTGGTTCTTGGAGCTGATGGAGTTCAGCTGTTTCTACTGACACTCAGAGTTTTTTTATGGCTGCAGAGGTTTATCCGTACTGTCCTAATGCTGATAAAGAGGTAAGGCACACAGTTCCTTTGAGAATCCCACAGGACTAGAAGAATCACAGAATATTCAGAGTTGGAAGAGATCCACAAGGATCATCAAGTCCCACCCTTGGCCCTGCACAGGACATCCCTGAGAATCACACCATGTGCCTGAGAGCATCGTCCAAATTCTGGTTGAACTTTGTCAGGTTTGGTGCTGTGACCACTTCCCTGGTGAGCCTGTTCCAGCATCTGACCACCCTTTGGTGAAGAAACATTTTCCAATATCTAACCTAAACCTACCCTGAGCACAGCTTCATGCCATTCCATCAGATCCTATCAGTGGTCATCAGAGAGAAATCAGTACCTGCCCATCTGCTTCCCATTATGAGGGAGCTGTAAACTGCTATAAGGTCTCCCCTCAGTCTCCTCCAGGATGAAGAGACTAAGTGACCTCAGTCAATCATATGGCTTCCCTGTAAGGCCCTTCACCATCTTCACTGCCCTCCTTCGGATGCTCTCTAATAGCTTAATGTCTTTATTATACTGTGGTGCCCAAAGCAGGAGAAAAAGTTTAACACTACAGAGAAACCAGAAGAAAATTTTCTAAAATATCACAAATTTGTACTTAAAATGTGATAAAGACTTCACTCAGAGGCAAGCACACTGATTTCAGAGTTGGACCTGCCTGCAAGTACTGCCAACTAACATCCCGAGTGAGATTCTGGAATACATAAAATACTACATTTAAGATTATGTTGCTCTTTCTTCAAGCATCATTCTTAAATACCTGCCCATATGTCCAGGTAAAAAGTGAAGTACAAATATAGAACTGCTGACAGCAAACAATAACTCAAAAAATTTAGGAAAGAAAATTGTATATACATAAATATATGTTAATGTATATATGTATGCACATATACAAATATATTTATACATTCAAGTATTATCAGCAAAATGTTTAAAGAAGTTGGTTTGCAGAGTATTTCTCAGTTAGTGCACGTTTCCATTGATAAACCCTTAATAAAACTAGGAAACTTTCCTGAAAAGGATGACAAATTCAGACTAACTAATCACAAATTTCAGTGACTCAGTGAATGAAGACAGTTACAGGCCTAGGAACAGACATCAGGAAATCAAGTAGATCTATAGTTGGAGGCTGCTGAGACCAACCATGTGAAAATTAAAAGGAATGAATGTCTCATTTATACACCTCACTGATGCCAGACAGCAATTTGTAGCCTCAAGCTCCTTCCCAGACCTAAGACCATTAATGAAAGATCATATTGTGTTATTATAGAATTTGTCTGCCATCCAGGAGCTGGTACTTGCACACTTCCCTTGCAAGAAGCTGTGGATTTGGTGCCCACTGGAGTTGCATATTCACATAAGTGGAGTTTTGGCTTCTAGTTACTGCCCTCAGGGATTACTACTTCTGCCTTATACCCAGTGGCTCTTGAAAGCACAAGTAAGCTCCTTCTGCAGCAATCAGAGCTGAAGCTTTATTTCTTTCTCCCATTTCCTTCCTAAGCACCTACTGAAGGACAACCAGTGCATTCTTGCTTCCATCTCTCTCCAGTTCTCTGATCAATTGCATTAGCTTGCAGACATCTTCACCAGAATATTATGTTAGGTATAGTTAACCATCAAGATACTTAAGGGATCCCAAAATTCTCTTGGGATGATTAATATATATGAGATTGCATACATAAAGTGTACAGACTTCTTGGGTTTTATTCCACTTAGAGCCAGACATAAACACCCAGTTCAGCCGAAGTGCCACAGAACTGGGCAAATACAGATGAAAACCTTCTCAGAAACTTTTCTAATAATTGCAGTAATAATCAGAAAGGAAACCTCAGTTAGCAGCAGCTGCTAAGTGAGCACAGGAGAAGGGATACAATTTTAGTTGAAAGTCTAGCTAATTTCATTCTTGCCAATGTCCTTCTCAAACCTAGCCTAGATGCAAATACCTAAGCATCAAAGCACAAAAATACTGCATTGTGGGAGTTCATCTTAAAACTGGTATCTGAAAGAATCTTTCTGCTCAAAGTTAAGCATTTTACACACATTATCTATTAAGTTTTAAAAGAAATAGCTCATATTTTTGCCACAATGTTATCTCTATGTATACAATATTATATTGCAATAATATTATTATGCCATTTCAAAACAAGACAATCATACTGACTCATGAATATGACACTAATGTTCCACTGATTCTAACTGTCTTTTGAAATGATTTTTAAAATCACCTGAAGAATGTTCTTATGATGAGAATTTCACACTCTTTTTAGGATTTGCAAAAACATTTGTCAGGAAACTAATTAGTTACACAATCGTAATTGCAGTAACGATTCATATGAAGAAAACCTGAAATTAAATAGTGTAACAGACATCTTACAATTACTTAGGGGTTATGGGAGAGCACTGAAAAGGAAAAGCCCCTAAGTACCTATAAAACTGTGTTTAGAGAAAAAGATCTTTTTTCCTGACATTAACTAAGATGCTTTTTACTTGACTGCCAAGAGATCATGTTATCATTTATGGAGACAAATCATGTTTCTCTGTTACAGCAGCTGTGACAACAATATGGAATAGTTTATATAATTATAACAGTCTAAAGTTAGATTACATTGCAAAACAAGTAACACTTTTGATTCAAATATACAAAATTGAAATAGGTTTTAACTTGTTTTTCTACCTGGTAATATTTTTATTGTCTTGGGGCAATGAGCTTTCCTACATTCCTTTTTCCCTTTTCTTTACCAATCATATGAAATTTTATTTCTGAATGATGGCAATCACAGGCACTGCCTGTTTAAAAACAAGTACACAGGACCTATTGAGACCCTGAATTTCAATCAATATGTATATCAACTCTTGCAATTCAAGTGCCTAAACCAAATATTTGCACTAGAATTGGATCTGAATCTATGAATGTATTACATTCATATGAATGTATTACATCCATAGATTACATTACTTTTCTATAAATGCAAGTACCAATGCTTCTGTGCTGGGTTTGGCTGGGTTTGAAAAAAATTCTAAAATCAAAAATTTGCTATGGAATATTTTAAAATGTTGCAGAGATCTTGAGATAACTTTCCTGAATATATATTTGAACAAAACCTTTCAATAGACAGAAAAAAATAGCCAGTTATTTCAAACTTTTACGATGACACAGTGGTGCATGACTAATTCAAACTCATTGCCACTGTACTAAGATCAATGCTACTCAAGTTCAGATTGAAACACAGGTATAGATAAGGTTTATATTTTAATATATTTGCCATTATATTTATTTGGCAAGTTTTTTATTTGATTCTAATACTCACATAATTTATATATGGCAGGCAGAAACTAGTATGTTAGAAGATTTAGCACCTGATTTTTCAAGTGATAAAGATGACACTGATCTAATTTGGAATTTACTATAAAAAGGTAACAGTTTTTAATTTAAGTAAAAGTTTTAAATCTCTTTCTCATAACATTTGCTTCATAAAAATTAAAATCACCCATAATACTTCAGAAATTACCATATTTTAGGTTTATTCTGAACTAAATTTTGCATTGTTGCATCAAAATATAACTTTCTATTGGAAAGCATTTAGACTCACATTCCCTCTTAACTACGATGCAGTTGTTCTTATAAAGAATCCCAAACTTTTCTATTTACACACTTTAAAATATGAACAGCATTTCAATAGATTTCAAAAGTTTGGAAATAGGCCTTATAGAAGACTGTATGGTGGTCAGGTTAGGAGGATCACTCAGATGGTATCTAAACAAGACTATTTGAAGTCTCAATCGCATCAAACAATAAAATAACTACCTTTATTACATGTGTAGATTGAAGCACATGTAGAGATGAGACATAAATCAAGAATTTTAGCAAATAAGTTGCTTACAGCAGACAATAGCTAACACAAGGCAACTTAAAAATGTATAACGGATCTATCTTAAATACTATATTTCTTGCTAACTGCCATCATCTGGGTTGAAGACTCAATGTTTCTTCTATACTTAAAATTACTTTATTACTAAGAGAAAAGTGAGAGACAGGGTCCCGTTTAAGGGCTTTGAATTGAGTCTTTGCTGATAACAGAGTGAGGGGTCTCAGGTTTTTTCAGTTAAAAACTTCAGTTACCTTATATTGGACTAGACACAGTGTACTACGAGTAGGAAATAAGTCATAGGGAGAAAACACTACAAAATTAACTTACCTGTGATAATGTTGGGCTTTGGTGGCATGCTGAATTCATACAATGTTGGTTCGGAATAACCCAGTCTGTTGGCAGCTGTAATTTGTACTTCATAACCCATGGTCCATTGAAGATGCTCTAAGATAATGTGGTCTCTACTACCCTGCACTTTTTTCTCTAGCCACTGGTCTTCCTTATCTTTCTGTAAAGATGAAAATATTTTGTTTAAAATCTCACAACTTCTTGTATCATTTGTCTAAAGTATGTATGTACACGATGCACAAAATTATGGACTTTCCTTTACAGAGGTTATGAACATTGAAATAATCTAATTTTGGAGTTCTGAGTACTCAGGCGTTTTTTAAATTTTGGCCAATTCTTATCATGCTTCCACAATGTGGACCTAGAGAATTTTGTGGTCAATCCTTTTTAACCTTTTGGCTTCAATTTATTCTTTGCTCAAATACTGGTGTTTATCTTGTAGAACATCAGGATAATTTTTTTACAAATGTCGATAAGAATAAATTATGTAAAAGGTTTATGTTATATAGATGTTTGAATTATATTTGTATCCATGTTCATTCAAAGAAACTTAGCATTACCCAAACTTGAATTGTCCATGAATGCACACTGTGCTTATATGATGCATTAGTTATTTAACAAAAATATACACTAATTGTTGCAATATGTGGTGCTATGGGAACATTTTGCAATCCAGGTTTGTATGCAACAATATAAACATCATTGAAAAAGTATGAAGTACTATGTCTACACTGGTGAGAGGATACATGTAAATCATTAAGATGATGTTCTAGAGAAAAAAAAAGGATTCTCATAATTTCCCATAGTTTGGATAATTAAGACACATATACAAGTGGAATAAATGAGGACTTCAGTTGCAAACTTAATTCTGGCACTTCATAAATTTGGAGTGTTTATCTTTACAATCGCTCCTTTGAGTGTATAATATATTTAATTATTCTTTATACAGACAAGAATTACAAAATAACTAATAGGTAAAAGGATAAAAGAATATATACTGTCAAACACAAAAAGATCTTCTTCAATGGACTACCAATAACAGTTAGTAAGAATCCATACAGTCCGATTCTTACTAGACAGTGAAATACAATAACATGGCAAGAAATATGGCTGAGAGAAAAATCCTGTCCACCCAACCCATACAGCAACACAGACCCAATCAGTGGACATCAACTTTGTGACAAAAAAATAAAACCAAACCAACTTATAATACAGTGAAATATAACTTTTTACTGCAGACTACTATCCTTCTCAGCAGCTTATGTTAGGCTCTCTTCTGAAGGATCTTACTCTTAACTGATACAAGTGTCAGAAAATAGTATCTAGAGAGTTCAGGGATCAATCATGCTCCTTACGACTTCTTTTTTTTGTCCCAGTCTTCAGAAAATAGAGGACAGACTAAACTTCACTACATGCACTGCTGCAAAAACTTATTTGTTATCAGCTCTGATTGTGATGATTTTTCTGTACTGACTTCATCTCTTCATAAATTTTCCTGCTTCCTTTGCACTAGCATTGGTATTGTCACATGATAGACGTGGGAATGATTAAAACCTAGCAAAACATCTTTTCAGGAATATTTTGCAGGCAGGTGAAAGTTTCTATTTGGTGCAGCAACAGACCAATGGAAAATGTCAGAATGATAGTTCCATTGCAAATCTTGAGAAACCCCAAATACACTGGAGTAAAAATAGTTTACTCATCATACATTGGAACTGGTACTTTCTTTAAAAGATATTTTCCCTATCATAATGGATATTTTCTGTTGCAATCATCTGATATGCCACTGAGTGAGTCCACTTTTATTGTCACTATACCAAACAACTTTTACAAAATGTAGTTTTCTATAGCACTGCTGTATTGTTATAGATATAAAATATATTTGTATGCTTTATATATATATGTTGGAGAATAAGGCACTGATCTCTTCCACTTGTGACCAATGACAGGACCCAAGGGAGTGGCATGAAGCTATGTCAGCAAAGGTTTAGGTTGGATATTATTCAACCAGAGCACTGTTGGGCACTGGCTCAGGCTTCCCAGGGAAGTGGTCATGGCCCCAAGCCTGCCTGAGTTCAAGAAGCATTTGGACCACACTCTCAGGCACATAGGGTGATGCTTGCAGCTGTCCTGTGCAGGGCCAGGAGTTGGACTTCAGGGACCCTTCCAGCCCAGGATATTGTATGAATCTGATTTTATGCTGAAACAGAGATAACTAATACTGATTGCAATATACATATGAAAATACTACTTATTAATATTAGGAATAGCAATGTTATGTAGCACTGTATTTTATGTTAGAAAAAAATACAGCTAGATTCCAAAGAACATCAACATGAGAGTAATCAGAAGATTCATACATGATCTCGGTGTTGTGCACATATACCATGTGAATATACTGAGAGATTCCAAAGGGCTGCAGAATCACAGAAGGAGAAAAATAGACTGAATGGAAAATAAAGATTCAGGCTAATATGGTTCCTGCAGGTGGAACAGTCAGCATTGCAATCAGATATATGACCATATTTTGAAAACAACCTGTAGAATTCTATGCAATGAATAGAATGGGCTTAGCAGTTGTAAGAAAAACTAGATTTTTGTACGAAGCTGCACTTCTGCAGACAAAAGAGTAAGTGAAAAGGAAGATGTTCCACAATTTGGTCAGGTGAAAAATAATGACAGAGCTGAACTGTAACAAGATACCAGCATGGTATGCCAGAGAAATGACACCGTAAGTTTATTTGAAGCTGTGGCCAACTGGGTGGATTGAGATAAATGAAACAAAGTCCAAGCCCTGAGCAAAAAGACACAAAACATTTCACGAAAAGTGACAAATGCAAGTTAGGAGGAAGAGGAATAAGAAATTATCTGGAAAGCAAGGTGTGTTCTTCAAAAGACAAACAGATGAGGTCTTCCAGAATACCATCTACTTTTGGCTTCTTAAAGAGAAAAAAAAAGAAAAGAACTGCAATGTCCTTCATTATAGCTGTCAGCTATAATGCACTTTCAAGTACTTTTTACTAAGCAGAGCTCAGTAATGTGTCCACATTTATTTTACTACCAGTGTAGAAATGGAAAAAGAGGGACAATAACACCAATCAAGATTCTGCTGATTAAATCTTCCTACAGACGTTTATTCTAAGACCTAAGCTTAAGGAGCAGAAAAAAGAACCACAAAAGAACTTCATAACTTATTAGGCTGTTCTATTGTTAATACTTCTTAAAATTTACAGAAAACTTTACATATGTAGAGTGTTCTACAAGAAATGAAAGAAACTTCTCTATTACAAACTACAGCCTAATTTGGGGGGGGTGAGTTAATAGAAATGTCTTCAATAACCACTTGCTATCAGCAGTTGTATCACTGATATCCAGGACAAATGGTCATTTTCAGAAACTGCAATCAGACCTGCAACCACAGAGATTAAACTGTTCCTTTATTAACACTTCATTTTGTTTCATTTAATGCAGAAATACTCCTTCACCGAAGCCCAATGATGATTTAGCCAATGACTGGCAATTTTAGGAATCTTACTGCCCACTTCCATTACTCTTAAGCCTTAGATTAACTCTGTCTTCTTATTTCCAGTATAACTGCTTAGTAAAACAGATGGCATACCTGACAACAATGAAAGTAAAGTCAATCCACTGTTCAGGCACTAGTTTACTAGTCTAGAAAATAACATCTCTTTCTTGAATGGTCATGCTACACTGTATCCAAGATCACATTTACTCATAAAACCAGAAAAAGTGATTAATCCCCATCAATTCTTTCCTTATTCTCCATCCTCTCAAAATTGTTGAGCTCAAACAGACTTCTTATTATGGTGGACTCATGATAAAAAAATGGACAGGAGATGCCACACTATCTTGAAAACTGGCAGGAAAAAATATAAAGAAATCCTCACAGAAGATAATCTGATAGTTGAAAGCAGTGACTTCACAAGAATTAATTACATCAAGTTGGTGCATTCTATATATGGGTAAAAGAGGACAAATACTGAACAAAGCACAAAATAGCTGATAATGTACATAGCGTTAAAACGCACAGAAAGTCTAAGGATCTGGCAGATGAAGTGGACTCCAGAGATGCAAAAACGTTTAACTCTATTGTTGTAGCTATTTCGGAGTGAGAGTAAATGAGAAATTGGCTCTTTTAAAATGTTTCATATTTATAGAATTTTGATCTAGAACCTATCATAATGGAAAAAAATGAACAGAGTCTCCCATCAACATAGTCAAAATAAGAGCAAAGGACATAACCTATCAATCAATTTGTCTGTTCAGAGCATTAATAGTAACACTGTCAGAGGTCAACATGGTGAACATTTAGGCCTGCAAAAATGAATCATTCCTCTAATGTTTCCTCCAAACATCATTATGGATGTAAAAGATAAATTAAGTGACGATATTGGTTTTCAAATAAGGACTTCAATAACTTTTTTCTGCTTCTAGGCATTAAAGTCTAAAACCATAAAATAAAGTTATTTTTATTATTTTATTGTAATTCTGAATTTT